GTAGATGCAGAGGATCATTCCGCCCCTTACAGTCATTTGGCAACTGACCTGAGGAAACCGGCAAAGCAGCTCCTTGCACAGAGAGCGCTCCCCTTCATGGTCACTCGCTCCCCGGGTTTCTCTGCTACTGGGTCTTCTACAAATCTTTCACTCTCTTATGTTACTGTGTTTCTTCCATCTCTTCTTCTTCAGGTTTAACTGTTTTCCAACGTCAGGCCACAGGCACAGAAGTTGCTAAAACTCCCCATGCCCCGAAATGAAAGGATCTTTTATCACCCAAACTCCCACATATTCCAAAGTGTATCTCATCAGACTTACGTGTTTTTCTGTGTAACATACTTATACTTACGCCCGCACGTCTTCTCTCTTTTATTAGGCTCCCTGATGGTCTTTCACTTTGTGTCGCGCAATAAGCAAAATGTGTTTGGCTTAAGAAGTGTTCATTTGCTCAAGCAGTGAAAGAATGAACACAGTATGTCGGACTGTGATAGCAATTCTGAGGTTCATTCAGTTACTATGCACTTATTAAACGTCTGCTGCTTATTCTGCAGTCTGCCAGGTCCTGTACATGAAGACAAAGCATCTAAATAATTAACTGTCTTGGGCTTTTATTTGGTTGTTTATTTGGATATCCTTTGGTGTGGCCAGTTAAATGGCTTATTAACTATTAAATGTGTGCCATATGAATAAAGGAACCAAAAATATCCCAAATCATGTAGATGTAATTTACTGTAGTGTAAACATCTGCAGTCTATGTACTATAATGATATATTAAATTATTTTTATTTTAAAAACCTTGAGTTATCCTTCCTTCTTGAATATGTGTGCATGCACAAATAAACCTGTACAAGCATTTGAGCGAAGTTTTAAAGCTGAAAGCTAAAATAATGTACAAAATTGAAATGGTTTGCTTCTCTTCTGTTTGTTCTTACCATTTTAGATGATGGAAAATTGTCCTTTGAAGAATTCAAAGCATATTTTGCAGATGGTATTCTGAGCGGAGAGGAATTACATGAGCTCTTCCACACCATTGATACACATAATACCAAGTAAGGAAACTTTTTATCACTGGATTCTGTAAACAAAGTGGAGAGGGCACGAGCAAGTACATGACAGTGAAGCAGAGGGGAGAGAAGCTGTCGGGGGCGTATGTTGTATAATACTCACCTACGTAGGTTTAATTCTGAGATAGCCTCTCTTTAATAAAAGAAATGCTGTGAGAAACTGGATGTTGAATTGGAAAAGAATGATCTTCTGTAGGGAGTTCTCATAAAGCAGTTTTAGAGTTTTCAGACTGTGAAACAAAAGCCTATGTTATAATAACTGTAAGTCTATACTGATAAGAAAGTAGAATTTTATTTTGTTTCTTAGACTTCATCTCAGTTTGCTTTATTTAAAAAACTGTCCAAAGGGCATTTTTATAATAGTGCAGTGAAATGGGAAACTGCAGTTATCTGGACAATTCAGATGTGCTGAACTCCAAATCCCTGTTACCCGAGAGATGCAGGCAATGCAGGATGTTGAATCTTCTCTGAACAATCAGTGTATGCAGTAATCTATTTGATTTTTTTCTCCTTTGCATTAGTATAGCATCTACAAAGTTTCTATTTATATTCTCATTGTGCTTAAAAATATAAAATAATGAGGGATTTAGAATACAGAGCAACAGAAATATGCTGCTTGAGTTGGATAATTGCATCAAGTCACATAATTTGTGACAGTCATAACTGCAGAATTCTAATGTGGAAATGCATCACTTCAGCCATGCCTTGAGACTCAGCAGTGTGTCTGCTGCTTGGTGATTACTATCTTGCTTTTGGGCAAAGTGTTGAGATGGTTCCAGGCAGTGAACCAGCTTGCCAAGAAAATGCTCATGGGCTACAACTCTGCAGAGACGTTTTCTTGCAGCAGATTAATAAGAAAAATCAAAAGATTAGATTCACTTTACTCAAGCAGCTGAATATTTTTAAACAACAATTTGTAAGTTTGTTGACTTCAGATTCCCAGCGTTAGTGGGTAAGTGTATCAGAAGTCCCACTCTGTACAACAAGTAAGAATATGAAATCCCTAGAAGGTATTAGTGGTGCAGCACGGGGCCAGCTTATAGTTGAGGGGAGCGTAGACCCACTAACTGATCATTTCAAAATAACACCATAAACGCTGTGCCTGAAGTAGGCACAGGGTACTTTGGGATGACAAGGAGGTGGTTGTTAGCCTGGTTTGGTAGCCTTAGGGGATGTCCGCAGGGTTAGACAGCCAGGAGCTGAGTCTTTATGGGAGAAAAGAAATTGGTTAGGTAAATAAAGAGATGCATGAATATTTCAATCTGAGGGGAAAGCATAAGAAAAGACCTGGAAAAATAAGATGAACTGGGGCAACATGTATTTTCTTACTACCAAAATGACAAATGTAAGGCTGAGCGTAGGAGAATCTAGAGAGTAGAGAATGGGCCAGACAGTAATTTGCATTATGAGATTGCTAAAGTGTTTCAACTTAACATTGGCCAGGCAGTGACATCTTTTTAGGTCATTGTGGCTCTGCTCAAAGATAGGCTTAAGAGGGTAATGGTGGAGATAAGGCCAGCTGAATGCTTAAGGTAACTGCTGGGGAATAATGCTTATGCATGGGAGAAAGAAAGCTATTTTGTACCAAGAAATGATACTTAAGTGAAAAAAAAAAAGACCAGAGGCTCCTTTCCGAGCTCAAATGTTGGAAGTTGAGATGCTCACACTCCATCATGTATGCTAATTATTTCTTCCTCATTATAGTTTAAAGCATTATAAACATTTAAACCTTAAAGTTTTAACAGTACCCAGGATTGGAACAACTATTGATAATCATGGTTCCAGAATTTGGCGTCATGGAGATTTTTCAATTCACATTTACTCATGTTAATGAAAAAATAAAGTTTTCAATAGGCCTTGTTGCCTGATTTTGCTATTTTATTTATATATTTATTAATGCTTGGCATAATTTCCATAAGTGCTAAAGAAGCAGATGTAATTATTTTACAGTAAGTCTAAAGGAATAGGTATTGCCACCAATTACTCTCTCAAAAATGCATGAGTAATGATAAGTGTTTTCTAATCATAATGTTGTTCAACTTAATTTGGAGCTGAATTATATTAGATATTGACTTCCGAATTATACCCATGAAATTCCTTTAAAAAAACAAAGGATGCTAGTGTCAGGCTTTGATCTTTTAAGGAGATTCCTTCAAATATTGGCACTGAAATTTCAGAGCTATAGTCCAAGCAAGTGATAGCATTTATTTTGTGTGTGATCCAGTTTTTAATATTTCAGTGATCATACTATATGTGCCATACATATTTCCCTTTCACATACCTTCTGACAAAATATGCTCTCAAATGCACAGCATTTGCAGCCACACTGACAGTCTAGCCTGAAGGGCATACGTAGCCTGGACCAGGTCAGTCAGGCTCGTTATCTCACGTCTATGGTGAACTGTGAGCGTCAGAAACGACGAATTTCTGCTGCTGAGGCCTCTAGGGCTGCCTGGCTTCTGTTCTTCCTGATGCCTGTAAGTTTAACTTCACTTTGAAGTCCATTAAATCATTATCCAGTTGATACTCTCCATTCTCTTGAGCTTATTTGAGCAAGCTTTTGCTTCTTGCAAAAGTATATTTTAAGACACGGTTACCTCAGCTCATCCCTGCCACCTGTGGGAATCCAAGTATCTTTGCTATAAACATTATACTTTGCTATGTTTGAAAAGTGGCATAGACACTTTGAAAATATTTGGAAAGAAAGAAGGAAAATACTGCAAATATATCTTGCTAGTTAAACTTTCCTCTTTTGTCACATAAATAATATTCTTAAAATATTTTGCTTCATAATGAGAAGCAAATGTTTTCTAGAAGCATAATTATAGCTGTGCTTATAGTGCAACATAATTAAGGTATTTTAAATTTCAAACTTGAGCATATCATTCCCTGTAAAATGACATAAAATCCACCAGGAGAATCTACAGATTCTCAGAGATCATGTTTATACAGGTAGGTTCTAAATGAACAGACTATATAGAGCTGTGCAATGATTAAAGAAGAGTTTTGACAAATTAAAAATATATACTTCCCTCTCCACACATTAAGCTTCTAAATCCAACTCTCCTGTTTTCTCTTTCATTTAATTCAGTCATTTATTTGCTCTTTCATTAAAAAGATCAATCATGTTCATTTGAGAAATTATGTTAAGAGTATTTCACTGGAGTTTTTACTATGCCCCAGAGCCACTTCAACCTTTCCAGTCAAATTTCTCTCATGGCTGCAATTAAACCATAACAAACAAACAGAAAAGCAAACCCCAAGCACAAAAATAAGCCAAACACTTGCAGCCTCACGGGAACTTACACTTCTGTGACTGTGCAGAGGCTTCTGTTCATGAATGTTGTCCAGGCTGGAAGTATTTCAGGTCTGAACCCTGGAGAATTTTTTAGGAGTATTTCAAAACGAAACTACCAGCCACATGCCCTTCTATGTTAAGGAAGCTGCCCGTGGGGTTCTGGTCACCCTCTGGCCTGTACAGGTACACGTTTAAGCTTGAAACTCAGTATAACCTCATTCTAATGAGAATTCCATGAATCATCCTAATTGTTTGATTAGATTTTAAGATTCTGCATATTTTTCTGGAAATTACATTTCTAACCTAGATGGCCTGAAAATTTCATTCAGAGCAGAGACTTTAGAAGTGAAAGTAGGACAAATTTTCAATACATCAATGAAGTCCAGCTTTCCATCATTGAAAAAATTTTTTTAAATTGATAGTTCTTTTCCATTTTGCTTGCACATTTGGAAAATCTTCATTAGTTTTTTACTGAGTAGAGTGGTTGAGTGTGGAACAAAAGACAAGCTTATTTCTGTAGATGATAGTTAGGATATGTTTTGTAGCAAAGAAGATAAAAATGTAAGTTTTTGTAAACAGGAAAAATGCTGAAAATTTTTACTTAAGCTTTATTTAAGGAGAAGTGCAAACACTGTAATTTTCCTGAGTATTCTGAAGGATGTCGTGTCCACCTTAGTAATACTCTCATGAGTTCATAGATTTTTGTCAATCCTCATTTTACTATCTTCTTTTTCGGTCAAATGTGCCTAATCTTGCTTTTTCTTAGAAAAAAAAAAAAGAGAATTGTTGTTAATCAGTGTTAATTACTTACCTGTTGTATCTCTTCCAGCTCCAGTAAAGGTTTCTTTAAACTCACTTTTAAAAAATTTTATAAAAGTTACTCTTTAGAAAAGAATAGTTAAACCTCTAAAATTTAAACTTAAAAAAATAGCAAAACTAAACCTACAGCTTGGGTAGCTTACAAATCGACATTACCATACAAGATAGAGGGCAGAGGTAAATAGAAGAAAGATCGTTAGGTCGAGAGGAAACTTCCATGGCTTATCAAACGCGATTTCATTCGAGAGCGTGGCCAGGATGGCAGAGCAGAAAGCCTGAGCTCATCCGCTCCCATGAGCTCACCAAAACTACAGCTATTCGCAGGGCAACTGTCAGTGGCAGTGACTTGAAGAGTAGCAGAAAAGATTCTCCACATCTAAAAATATAAAGAAGGGACCACAGTGAGACATGTAGGAGGGGCAGAGATGCACTATAGTCAAGACTCATACTTCCACGTGGGTTTCCCACAAATTGGAGGGTAATTATAATTACAGAGAGTCCTTCCAAGGAGTGAGGGTTTCAAGCTCCTCACTGGACTCCCCAGCCTGGGGGTCTGCACTAGGAAGACGAGCCCCCTAGAATGTCTGGTTTTGAAGGCCAGGAGGGTCTGTATACTGGGAAGCTGGAGGGCTGCAGGAAACACACCAAATCCTACACATTCTGAGACTCAGCACAGAGAGAGACAGGGGGCAGCCGACTCCTCCCGGGGACATCGATGCTCGAAGCAGGCATTTTGGGGAGCTTGTTCTACCATGAGGACATGTGTGCCAACAAGCACCATTTTAGAGTCCTCCCTGGAGCCCGTTGGTACTGGGGGCTTACTTTCCAGCCAGCTGGTTGACACCAGTCCTAGGACCCCTCAGGCTGA